AAATCGAAAAATGGTCGAACTACATCGTAAATGTGCGAAATAGATCGAAATGATAAATCAAGTGAAAGATAACCAACCTACAAGGCTGAGACTTGCCTTGGACGTTGTTGCTATTGATATGTGATGAGAATTAAGCAAAGAAACCCATAAAATTCCAAGCTTGAGATCCAACCATAGCGAAACCGATGAAAACACGAGAAATGCTCCGAATATCGATTTGTACCGAAGAAGCTTGAGATGATTACTTGAATTGGAGAGGAATCAATAGTAAATATAGAAATCCAAGTAATAATATGGTTAAATGAGGTTTAGCTCAAGAGAATGACAATTTCGATGTGAAGATTGTTACACTCCAATGGTGGAAATTGAGCTTTAGTGAGGGTTTGTGAGAGAGGATGATGATGAATGTGCAAATTTGCAGAAAATTCAGAGAGAATGCGAGAGAACTGAGAGTGATCAGTGGAGAATTTGGAAGAAATGATTGGAAAATTGTTCAAGCCCCCTGGTGAAATGGTTATGATTTACTTATATAGAGTTTTGCTTTGCTAGGTTCGGAGTGAGCTTTGGATGTAGCCTTGGAACTAGCCTTGGAGTTAGTTAGGCTCAACTCACTGAGTTGGAGGTTAACTCAGTTAGTTAGGTAGTTGACTCGTTAACCATCCCAATGCAAGTTGTAAATCCAATGGTTCACATGCTTGGAAACAAAGGTGTATGGTGGTCTTGATTGGAAATGATGTATTGGAGCAAATGCCTTCAAGTGTCTTGAATGTTCTCAAAGCCTCTAGAATTGTCTAGAAATGTCTAGAATGTTCCACACAATGCTAGAACCAAATGGACCCCCAAAATGTAGAGAGAAAAGTGACTGTCACAAAAATACAGCAAAATCTGCATTTTTACACAGAGTATCCGGTTACTCTGTTTTGCCTAGAAACTGGGTAACTGGTTACTTCAGGAAAAATTTGCATATTTGCTTGAAAAATGGTGTTGTGTATGTAGTTTCTATTTTCGACCTTTTGATTTGATGAATAGGCATAAAAATCTTCATTTTGTGCTTGTTTTGATAATGTGATATCTTTGAGAGGATGTGATTAATTGGGCTTGCAAAACCTGAATATTCCTGCAACAGAAATCACAAAGAAAAAAATGCTAATGCGTATGTCAGCGATGCGAATGCACATGCTTATGCAAAAGGGAAAAAAGAGGTCAAATTTCGGGTTACGACAGATACAAACAATCATCTGGGCCTCTATTTAGAATGCAAGACCAACACCTTTGCTCCTCTCCTACTTAAGATCAAGTCATCTTCAAATTCAAATACAAAATCATTTCAAAACTTTCTTCAATTTCTCAAAACCCTAATTCAATCTTAAAGAAAACACTTGATCATTCATAATACACTTGGGCCTCTATCTAGAGACTCACCACCTTTCTCAATTCAATTCATACTTGTTTATACATTTGTTCATATATCTGTGTATATACTTGTGCATATCTTGTTAAGTTTCCATTAGCATTTAAAACATCCTTAGTTCATACTAGTTCAAACAACAGGATCCTTTCAATCATTATAACTTAGTTCAAACAACTAGTTCCCTCTTGTACCAAGTAATTCTTCTCCCTAGTACAATTAGCCTCCTCTTGGGCTTTGTTTAATTTACTTAACCTTGAAACACTTTATTAAAGAGAGGATTATTTCCCAGTGAAACCTATTCTTTAAACCCTTTTAACCATAAAACAATTCAATAAAGAAAGGATTATTTGCTGGTGAAACCTTTCTTGAACTCTTCTTAGACTTGGAAAGTATCAATCCCCAGCCTCCTCTTGGGCTTCATAGAAGGACCTACAGGCTTCCTAAAAGCATAGGATAGATCCTAGCCAGCTTTATCAATACACGAAATCCCAGGAGAGTCAAAACCTCTAGGATATTCAATCTCAACCTTTAAGTCTTTTCTAATCCTCAACAAGGGTTTACTTTCACTTAACAATCCCCAACCAGGGTTAGTTTACAATCAATAAATCCCCAAAAGAATTAAAGCCCTTGTGGCATTTAAATTCTCTTCTTATCTTCAACAAAAGTCAGTCTCCACTTAAATTCCTTTAGCCTCCTCTTAGGCTTCATATAATAATTTCCCCAGTCAGCCTCAATCTTGGGCTTTGTAAAGACAAATATAACACTCTCCAATTGAGTCAGTTTTCATCTTTTTAGCTTGAACCTTGGGCTTTGATCAAGGCACAAAATTCAACATCCCCACAGATGAGATTATGAGTCCTTTATGTAGGAGAATATCTCTTCTGTACATCATATTTCAAATCAAACTATTTTACATAAAGAAGGACGTGACATTGCTCTAGATATTTCAAAGTCCAAGTTAAAAGCTTCCCTTATGTCAAAACTCATAAAGGAGAATGTGGTATTGCTCTGGATATTTCAAAGTCCAAGTTAAAAGCTTCTTCCCTTATGTCAAAACTTACGAAGGAGGATGTGGCATTGCTCTAGATATTTCAAAGTCCAAGTTAAAAGCTTCTTCCCTTATGTCAAAACTCATGAAGAAAGAGGTGGCATTGCTCTGGATATTTCAAAGTCCAAGTTCAAAGCTTCTTCCTTCATGACATTTCACTTCTCCTATAAAGAAAGATGTGGCATTGCTGGATTCCACACACCCCAGTTAAAGCAACTTCTCTTATAGTCATTTCTTCAATGTTTGTGATGAATATGTGAGATATCTTCCTTTAGAGATGACAAATTCTCTCTTAATCAAACTTTTAGCTTCAATCTCGGGCTTTGAACAAGACATAAATACTCTTTTAGCTTCAATCTTGGGCTTTGAACAAGACACAAATACTATTTTATCTTCAATCTTGGGCTTTGAACAAGACACATATACTCTTTTAGCTTCAATATTGGGCTTTGAATAAGACACAAAACAATTTCCTCCCATAGATTTAGGAGAAACTACGAACGCTCTGATTTTTCAGTTTCCTTTTTGAGAATACGTAGGCATAAGATTGCGAAATCTTAGCAAACACACTAATAAAAAATAAAAACCCTGAGGTCCGGACAGCTTCCAAAAACAATAGACAACCATAAAACAACCAAAACATTTCCTTAGTTTTCACAAAGGAGAAACTTTCCCAATCAACAACACAAAAACTTAGGCAACTGAGTAATTCAACAGTACAAATATGCAATAAAGGTTCCTATAGAGTACTATAGTTACTCAAGGTGTTAATAACTTCCCTTATTATAACCAACCCCCAATTCCAAATCTCTTAGCATTTGTAGAGAAAACATTTGCGAGCAAGGTTAGTTTGAGATATCTTCCCCTTCCTTTTAAGTATCATAGGATAAATATTAGAAATCAGAAAATAGTGCTAAATGCAATAATGGTCACGTCACTAAAACCGGAGCTACAATGGGTTATTCCCTTGACTTCTTTTCTGCACTATCTCTGACCAAGACATATCACATCCCACATATTCCTATCGTGGGAGAGTGACACATGTCACAGGCGATGTCTTCCCCGTGCGGGCGATATGATCTCATTGCCTCTTGTATGCCCTTACAAATATATCACTAAAAAGTCATATGATTAAAGTCAAGAAAATATTTGATTTGAATCATATTCATAGAACAAAAATCCAAAAACTGTTAATAGTGTTTAATTTGAGTCTAGCCCTCTATGATTTGAATAAAATCTCTTTGATTCAAGTCACTGATTGCTGTGATTTGAATCACAATGACATAAGCAAATCCTGCTTTTTAGAAATGTGGTTGATTCAAGTCAAGATATCTGTGATTCGAATCAGGACAACACAGAAGCAATTCATGGCTATTATATAACTCTGATACGAATTATGTAAGCTTGTGACTCAAATCACACTTCCAGAACCTTATTTTTTGCAAAACATAAAGTGTTTTTCAGAACCTAAATTTGTCATGACTTGAACCATTGTCAAATATGGTTCTTGATTTAAAACTTTGACAAATTTAGTAAAAGCATATTATTGGAACTATAATCAAACAATTTGATTTATGTATGCGTAAAAACTGATTAAGAACTTAACCTTAAGATGCACAATCATGTGAGGAGACTCAATCATAATAGAAACAAAACTAAAAGCTAAATAACAAGTAACAAAACAAAACCCTTAAGCAGCAGAGTCAACTTCAAATTGCCGAACTTTTTCTTATTCAGGAGACAAATCTCTCCTTAGAGAGTGATATGTGGTGTTGACGTCATATTAGTGACAAAATGTTCTGAGTTTTCCAAAGCTTTTTTTTTTCTCTATTAGAGTTAATTATCTCTACTTCTCATCTCATTTCTTTTATTTGAAATTGAAATATTATTTTTTATTTATATTAAATAAAAAATATTTACCTTATAATTTTAACCAGATCATAATCCAACGAGCGAAAAATTGTCGAATGAGTGAATGCAGCCAACGAGCTGCTAGAGATCCTATACATCCTATCTATATTCATTATTTGGTGACCAATGGGACATTGATCAGTTCTTTGTTAAAATTTTCAGATTAAAAGATATCATAGGGATTAGAGAGATAAAAGCTTACTATCCTTTCTTTGAAGAGAAGATCAGAATTAATCTTAAACTTCACTCTTACTTGGACTCTAGTCTCTATGTTTGGAGTCTTTGGATCCTTTCAATTTTTGTCTCTTCATTTTTACCTAATCTCATTCTATAACCATCTTCTCTCTTCGCCTACCATTCTGATTTCAAAATAACAAACGCATGTTTCACGCCACAAACGTTGTTGTCGGAAATTTCCTAATTTAACCTTATTATTTACTATAGCAACACTTTAACTCTTTTTCTTTTTCTCGTCTTCTCTCCGTGACTGTTTGGTTATATCCACATGTTTTTTTTTCTGTAACCGCCCATCTCTCACGTGCCTGAAACTCTAAAAACACACCAACACAAACACAATCACACACTCACATCTGATACTGTTACTGTTACTATTTTCTCTGTCATGTAACTATGTCTAATAATGATCTTCCTAAAGGCGAATCCGAATCCCTCATTCGCCAACCCTTGTTATCTTCTCAACGATCTATTGTTAATTCTACTTCTCAAGTTGCCATCGTTGGTGCCAATGTCTGCCCTATCGAAAGCCTTGATTACGAGTCAGTTTTTTTTATCTGGGTAGTGTTTTTTGTTCAAAGTTTGAATCTTTTCGTTGACCCTTTTCTAAATTGTTCCCTTTTTGTTGTGGGCATGCAGGATTTTTGAGAACGAATTCTTCAAACAGGATTGGAGAAGTAGAGGGGTTGTTCAGATTTTCCAGTACATATGTATGAAGTGGCTGTTATGTCTCATGATTGGTGTGATTGTTGGTTTTATTGGGTTTTGTAACAATCTTGCGGTTGAAAATCTTGCTGGGATCAAGTTTGTTATCACGTCTAATATGATGTTGCAAAGGAGGTACTGTAGATTTATTTTATGTTCCTTTGAGATTTTTAATTTAATTATTTCTTTTTATGTCTTTGTTACTTTCTTGATTTGGTAAAGGTCAATTAATTTCATGAAGTTCCTAGTTTGGAAATTTGGTGATGTGTAATGAGTTGAATTCTTTGATGTTGCTGATAAAGCTTACAAAATTTATTGCAGGTTTCTGTTGGCCTTTGTTATATTTTTTGCTTCAAATTTGATTCTCACTCTTTTTGCATGTATAATTACGGCTTTTATAGCGCCTACTGCCGCCGGTTCAGGTATATCAGAGGTGAAGGCTTACTTAAATGGTGTTGATGCACCTGGAATCTTTACTGTACCAACTCTGTTTGTTAAGGTATGCAACACACAGTACATACTATACTATACAATGCTCCTTTAAATATCCTGAAGCTGAGATAATAGCGGCATGAGTGTCTTCGTCATTCTCTTTGGTGTGTGCTTGATGTTTAGGTGGAGATTGATGTTCGCTTTAGCTGGTCCTTTGTTGGCGAGATCTAGCTTGTTTATTCGTCTTTCTGTTCAGTTCTTGGCGGCCTCTTTATTTTTTTCTCTCTATTATGGTGATTGGTTTCTTTTTTCTCTCTATTATGTTAAGATTTTTCCTTGATAGGTGACATAGGTAACCATTAGAGCTTGTTCATAAGATGGAAATATTACATCTGACATTGATTTATTATGATATTTTGTGATGCTAATACTAGAGTAGTCAATCCCGGATAGCGGCGCGGCCGACCCCAAAAATGGAATTGTAGGATAGTGTATAGCGGGATGGCTGTAATTTGATCATTTTTTGGATAAATTACATGAATAATTATAAGCATATGAAGTGCAGAGAGAGGTGAGGGAGGAACTTCTGATTTTTCTTTGGAGTGGCTGAAGTGCAAAAACGGCGGTGAAGGAAGGTTAGGGTTGAGTCTCAACTCAAATATGATTGGAAAATCCAAAATTACCCTTAAAATGTTTTTAAAATTTAGGGGTAATTTTGTTTTTTCAAAGGGGAAAAGGATAGCTGGACAAAAACCGCTCTGGGCCGAGAACCACTCCGCCCCCGCTACCCGTTATTTACTCTATATCGGCCGCTAGTGTTTTGCACCGCTAAGGCTCTTACCATAGAGGCCAGCTTCAGCTTTACTCCTCTATAGTGGGATAGTGCCGCCATTGACTACTCTGATTAATACTATGATTCACATTTCCAAAGTTCTTATGTAGTTTTTAAACCACATAAGCAAATTAGAATATTTAATGCTAAAATTGTTAGGTATTGTGTGGAAGGCACTTGTAAAATTAAAACTTGTTTAGCAGTTAAATTGGAAAAGGGGATTACTGATATTTGGTCAGTTACATTGTGGTAATTTGTCTATCATTGCTTCGGTTGTTTCTTAACTAGTATTAGTTTCCTTTATTAGACACAGTCATACAGGAACTGTTGTTTTTCTTGGAGAAGAGATTTACTTTCTCTGTTGCTTCTATCTACAGATTATTGGAAGCATTACGGCAGTTTCATCATCTCTTCTTGTTGGGAAGGCAGGACCTATGGTGCATACAGGTGCATGTGTAGCATCATTGTTGGGTCAGGGAGGTTCCAAAAGGTATGGAATAACATGGAGATGGCTACGGTTTTTTAAGAACGACCGTGATCGACGAGATCTCATAGTATGTGGATCAGCAGCTGGGATTGCTGCTGCTTTCCGTGCTCCTGTTGGCGGCGTCTTGTTTGCTCTTGAAGAGATGGCATCTTGGTAAACTCTGTTCATTCTTCACGACGCTTTGTTTGAGGATTTGGAATCATATTTTTGTCTTATGAATTATTTTTCTGAGTATTGTTGCAATGATCTACAGGTGGAGAACTTCCCTTCTATGGAGAGCTTTCTTTACAACAGCAACGGTTGCAATTTTCCTTCGAGCTATGATTGATGTATGTCTAAGCGGAAAATGCGGGCTATTCGGTAAAGGGGGACTGATAATGTTTGACGCTTATTCATCTAGTATTTCATACCATTTGGTAGATGTTCCTCCTGTGTTTATTCTTGCTGTTATAGGAGGGTTACTCGGAAGCCTATTTAATTTTATGACCAATAAAGTTCTTCGCATGTACAATGTTATTAACGAGTAAGCTTCTCTTTTAGTTATATATTGGCGTGACAGAATTAAACTTTTCGTAACATTGTTACTTATTCTTCCAAATTATTTACTTTTGCAGGAAAGGCATCATTTGCAAACTCCTGCTTGCTTGTTTAATCTCCATCTTTACATCTTGTATTCTTTTTGGATTGCCATTCTTTGCGTCTTGCCGACCTTGTCCTCCTGATGCAGTTGAGCCTTGTCCAACAATAGGTCGATCTGGTATCTACAAGAAATTTCAATGCCCTCCTAATCACTATAACGGTCTTGCCAGCCTCATTTTTAACACAAATGACGATGCTATCAAAAACCTATTTAGCATGAATACTGACAACGAGTTTGAGTTTTCGTCAATGTTGATTTTTTTCATCATATGTCTCTCTTTAAGTATCTTTAGCTGTGGAATTGTTGCCCCGGTTGGTATGTTTGTGCCAATTATCGTGACTGGTGCGTCTTATGGACGTATGGTTGGACTATTGATTGGAGAACGGTCCAATCTTTGCCATGGCCTTTTCGCTGTACTGGGTGCCGCCTCTCTTCTTGGTGGATCTATGAGGACGACGGTTTCTCTCTGCGTAATCATGCTAGAACTGACCAATAACTTGTTATTGCTACCCTTAATAATGATGGTGCTTTTGGTGTCTAAGAGTGTAGCAAATGTTTTCAATGCAAATATTTATGACCTTATAATGAAAGCCAAAGGTTTGCCTTATTTAGAAACTCACGCCGAACCGTATATGAGGCAGTTAACAGTAGGCGATGTAGTCACAGGCCCGCTTCAGGTATTTAACGGCATCGAGAAGGTTCGCAACATAATGTTCATCCTCAGAACAACAACACACAACGGATTTCCTGTTATCGACGTGCCTCCAGGTTTGGAAACTCCGGTTTTATTTGGCATAATCCTTCGCAACCATCTTATCACATTGTTAAAGAAGAAAGCTTTCTTGCCTACACCTGGGGCGAATAATTATGATGTATTGAGACAGTTTTCATCAAATGATTTTGCAAAGAAGGGTTCGACTGAACGTGTGAAGATCGAGGATATACGCTTAACAGAGGAAGAGATGGGCATGTACATTGATCTACATCCATTTACCAATGCTTCGCCTTACACTGTTGTGGAAACAATGTCATTGGCAAAGGCACTTATACTTTTTCGAGAAGTCGGTTTAAGACACTTGCTTGTGATACCCAAGATCCCCGGTGTAAGTAATTTTCTTCTACCATATTTTGCAAAAGATTTATATAGACCGAAATCCTTGCAATATTGCGGCTTAGTCTACTCTAAATCGGTCGTTAGATTAGTCCAACATACCGATAGATTAATCCAACGGCCGATGTTTGGCTGAACCAAGCTGCAGTTACTTGCAGTTCACTCAACTAAGTTTTATTTTGTTCATGGTGACTGCAGATATCGCCCGTGGTAGGTATACTGACGCGGCACGATTTCACGCCAGAACATATATTGGGAATGCATCCTTTTCTGGTAAGAAGCAGATGGAAAAGATTAAGATTTTGGCAAACTTTTCTAGAAAAAATTCTTTCTGGCCTGTAAGGAAGGTCATTAAGCTTAATTAAGCTTTTCAGCATTCATGAGATGAGACCAACCAGTGATTTGATTGAATCCATTATCTTAGTTATAATTGTATTTCCATTTTACAAAGGAAAATCTATAGGTTCTTAGTTATTATTAGTTTGTAAATTATTGCTGCACATTGTTAAGCTTATTATATCAAAAATATATACATCTATGGAAAACAAATTGAATAAAATTGAAAATTTTAGTTGTTTAAAATAAAATGTGATGTTGTGGAACATGATGACAATCAAGGCTAATTAAAAAAAAAGATTTTATTATGGTCAGAGATAAATAAAGAGTAGATTTTCTTGTGTTATTTACTTGTTTTTGCAGCATTTTATTCCATAATAATCATGACCTCATTTCATATACAAGATGGAAAGTTTGGAAATAGCATATGGCTGCATAATTAAAAAGTAGGCCTTTGATCAAGTGTGTGTTTTATATAGAAAGGGTTTATAAAATTATGCCTTTTAAGTTTAGTCTCTATTGATTTTTTAATTAAAATATTAGTATTTTATAATATTGTTTGTAAAAGTAGTTTCTGTTTCAACTTTTATTAAAAAATGACTACTTTTAGTCTTCTAAATAGTTCTTGTAAAATGCAAATAGGTATTAAAACTGATTTTTTAAAACTAAATTTATAATTTGGTGATTTTGTAGAGATTAAAATTAAAAAACAAAAAAACAGTGTTTTAGCATAGTACTAGTATTGTTCTTCCATTGATAAGGATCGGGTTGGACATATATGGACCCAAAATTTAACCTTTGATACTCTTAAGTATCTATCGTTTTTTTTTATGTCCCTTACTTTCAGAGATACATATTCAGGCGCACCTATTTTTTGTCAAAATTTGATTTTTTCCGGAGCTACGTCTACGGAATAATTTTAAGCTGGTAAATTGTTGAAAAACTTTCGTAGATACACCTCCAGAACGTCTAAGTATCAGATTGTTCCGTAATACAGCTTCGAAAATTTCTGCTATATTTGAAATCTGCATGATCACTCTCCCCATTATTGTGTTTTCTTCTTCCACACTCACCTTCAGCAACCTAAAAAATCCTACATTCTTAATATCAATTTTCACTCCAAAATTCCAATTTTTTCGTGTAAAAATTCAAAGGGAGTAAGAGAAGATCGAATTTCAGGTAAAGATTGCACTTTGTCCACTATATTGCTCACATTAATCATCAAACTTTTGAAAAAAAAGAAGTAACGTTGCATCCGGAGCTGTACCTCCGGAATGTGTTGAAGATAAACACTTCCGGATGTACATCTCCGGAACGTGTCTGTGACCTATTTTTTAACAGCAGATTTGTAATTTTTGTTTATTTTTCTTATTGTTTACAAATAGATATGGTGCACTCCAATAATATCTCAAAAGAATTAGTTTCTACAAACAATGTTTCTCCGAATGTTCAATGGGTCGTTGTAAAGTCGGTAGATGTCTGCGTTGACTTTAATAACAAGCAAGAGTTTGATGATCGTGATAGCATGATCACATGGACTCGTAGGACTGCAACTAGACTTGGTTTTGGTGTGGTTATAGGAAGATCAGATAATGGTTCGGAAAGAAGAAACACTTTTGTAACTTTGTTGTGCGAAAGAAGCGGGAAATATCAGACTCCTCTACGGATGTTTAAAAGAGACAACACCGGTAGTAGAAAATGTGAATGTCCTTTTAAGATTCATGGTTACATGTCGAGTACCAAAAAGTGAAAATTTAGTGTTATTTGTGGTTTGCATAACCATGAATTGTGCTTAAAATTACAAGACCATCCTAGTGTATGTCGGCTTAAGCCGGAATATAAGACATGTATTAGTGACATGACCTTGAATCTTATCCAACCGAAAAATATACTTGCCCCATTGAAACGGAAGGAACTCGACAATATATCAAATATAAGGCAAGTGTATAACATTCCGTACCGCACCAACAAGGCGATTATGAGAGATAGAAGTGAGATGCAACAACTGTTGAAATTGTTGGATGATAACATTTACGTGTCCCGGTACAGAACTTGCGACGATGGAGTTACGATCTGAGATATTTTTTGAATTCATCCGAATTCAATAAAGTTGTTCAACACGTTCTCGACAGTGCTCATTCTTGATTCTACCTACAAGACCAATAAGTATAGACTTTCTTTATTTGAGATGGTTGATGTTACGTCTACCGAGAAGACATATGCCGTTGGTTTTGCTTTTCTGGAGTGTGATAAAGAGGACAATTTTACATGGGAATTAGAGGCGTGTCAATCAATTTTGAAGGACCAAGTTGAGATGCCTAAAATGATTGCTACCGACCGCGATACTGTGTTAATGAATGCGGTTGCAAATGTATTTCCTTCTTCTAATACATTACTTTATCAATATCACATAATAAAGAATGTGAGAAGTCGGGTTAAACCTGCGGTGGGGGCGAAATAAGTAAAGTCTTAAGATGGAAAATTGGTGAAGGCCGGTGTGATTGTTGAAAAAATAATGGATGCATGAAATCGTATACTAAATTCTTACACATAAAAATTATATGCCGATTCTGTCATTCAATTACAAAAAATGTGTGAAAAGTATCATGCTTTATTGAAATACGCTGAAAGCACCATTCTTTATCAGGTGAAGGAGAAGATAGTTTGTGCGTGGATTGATAATGTTCGACACCTTGGAAATACAACCACCAACAGAGTTGAGTCGGCCCATGCTAGTTTGAAAAATTGGTTGGGTAATAGCAAGGGGGATTTGTGTCGAGATTGGGACTCCATAAATCTCATGATTAAAAACCAACATAATGAGATACAAACAACATTTGGTTGGAGTATAACGGTATTGAAACATCGATTTAAAGACATCATTCTTTATTCTCAATTGATCGACAATATGTCTCGGTCGAGGTTGAACTATACTTTTCACGAGGCCAAACGAGTTGAAACTGTAGGTTACAATAGCGCAAAGTGTGGTTGCACTATTGTGAAAACCTATGGTCTTCCATGTGGTTGTGTTATTGATAAAAAAGTTAAAACTAGGTGAGCCAATAAGAATGGACGAAGTTTGCCCTCTTTGAAAAAGACTTAGTTTTAATGATGATGGTTGCATGGAAGGAGGTAAACCAAATATCTCTATTTTGACCGAATGGGAAGCGATACAAGAGATATTCTCAAAGGCTGATGAAAACATGAAAATCCACATCCAAGAACAATTGAGGAAAATTTCATATCCCGAAATAACCGACATGAAACCGCCTTCTCAACCGGTAAAGACAAAAGTTGCTCCGAAAAAATGAAGCCTACACCGAATGACAACTCGATTACACGGTCTCCTTATTGTGAGCACGTTGACAAACTTTATCCCGAATCACCGACTCCTAAATCTCAAAAAAGTGTCATGAAAGGAGCCCGCATAAGAAAACCGCCTCCGACCCTGATTACACAGAAAATTCCATTCATCGATGAGATGCCTGTTTTTATGCACAAATACATCAACTGTATCGTAAATGTTGAAGGGGATGGTAATTACGGCTACCGATCCGTTTTGACTTTGCTTGGTAAAGGAGAGGATAGTCATGCGCTTGTCCGTCATCAACTAATCCAAGAGTTGAAGACGCATTAAGAATCTTACACGCGGTTGTATGAAAAGAAAGAAAAATTCGATGCAGTTTATGAATCTCTTGTTCCTTGCTTGAGTGGTTCGACACCGGTGTCGAAATGGATGACCTTCCCTGATATGAGTCATCTTATTGCATGTGCATATGATAGGGTGTGAATTTTCTTGACGCGTTACGGGTTTTCGGAAAGCTTTTTTCCACTCTCCACCGCACCACCTCAAAATCCAAATGATTGCATCATGTGTATTGAATGTCTTGCAAAATCAAGACATTTTGTACAAGTTTACTTGAAACCGGGATGCCCCATACCACCTACATTACCGGAATGGGTGACTCATTCAATCGCAAATACCTAGACGTGACCAGATCATTTTGTTGAAAGGATGCACAAATTCGAAAAATCGAACAACATTGAAAAGGAATCAAATGCGGAAAAGTTCAAAGGGGTGCACCACTAATAGATTTAGTCGGCGACACTTGTTTTGATTCGTTTTGCATTCAGGGAAAGTTCCGGAGATACAGCTCCGAAACCAACAATTTTGGGGTTGTTCTGTGGATATAGCTCTGGAAAAAAGTTTGACAAAAAATGGTTGGTCCATATTCACCTAGGTTTTCTATAAATTTGAGGTTTCATTTGTTATCTTTCACACAATTATAAAAATGTCTTAATTGTGTGAAATCAAAATCCGCTGGTATGTTGCAAGTGTCTCCTTTTCCGACGGCAAAACACCCGAGAGGACGTTCGAGCTCATGGATCTCACCCCTCGCCGATATCATAGACGAGATCCAATATCGCCTACCTTACAATGACAAACGAAAGGTTGTGAAGTTTGAGTATCGTTGTTAGAACAGTGGTTGAGTGTCGGGTTTTTGTTATCGTCTCCACAGGGAATATGAGATATTGCCGCAGTTCGATAGTTATCGAGTTCTTAACTTTTTAGTAACAAAAGGGGTTTTGTTTTTAGTAACGGTATCTTTGCATAAAAAGTACTGAATCGGGGTAAAAGATTGATTTTACGATTTAATAAAGATTGTCAAAGTTAGGGTTCGGTAATCACTTTGCTTGTATAGGTCCGATCAACAATATGCATAAACTTCTTTAGATGATAAACACATTCACAACATCCTCCCAATGTGATTATTTCTAACTCACATTGTGACTTTTCCCATTTTGATCCATTGTTGATTTCTCATACAATCTATCAAAATGACAACATTTAGGTTTAACATTTTTCATGAACAACAACATTTAAAACTATCTCTAGCTTAAGAAAATAGAAGGATGAAAACCTAGGTCAAGAGTTGGAAAATATCTTTCGATCATCAACCAAAACAAAGAGTTATAGATAAAGCAAGGTTTTCACCATATATTCA